AAATGAATTGTCACTACCCAAAATCCACTAAGGGTCGCGATGGCGCCGGACACCACCGTCAGGCAAGCCAACCCAAAATACTTAGTTAAATTCTCATTTTTATACTCTTGAAAACTGGGACTTTTCTTCAAATTTACCAATTTAAAAGATAATCGTCTCAATCAAATCAAAATAATAAGCAGTTGATACAAAAATACTTTACAACCATCGTAGAACCCAGTGTCACAAGTGCATGAGCAATTTCTAAGAAAAACTCGAATAAAGTACAACAGCTGTCCGGGATACAATTGGACAGAAAATAAATAAAATTCTGAGAGAGACTATACTAGCTGCGAGTCGCCTCAAGGAAATACAGCTCACCTAGTCTCCGTGTCAACCATGCTGCTATGCCCACTAGGCCACTAGAGATGCATGTGCCTATGCAACAAAAATGCACAGAAGTATAGTATGAGTGCAAAAACAACGTGTACTCAGTAAGTATCCCGCCTAATCTCGAAGAAGTAGAGACGAGATGGCAACTTCGACACTTACTAAAGGTCCAGTAATAATATTATTAATGCGATGAATCACAGATTTATTAAGAACGACAATAAATTCAAATGAGTTACGAAACAGGTAAAAGTTCCTTTTTATTAAAAGTCTCCGGATTCATAATCCATTAATTAACAATTATCTCAAGTCAGGGAGAGCAGATATCAATATCAATAAATCTCAAGGCAAATACAAGCATGTGCAACTCATGCCGAGGTCGTACGGCCCGATCCAACATAAATGTAAATTGTGCACTGCCGAAGGTCGGACGGCGCGAACCATAGATGCATCTATTACCCCGCTCGCGAATCATACATGCGACGCGGTCAAATTTAAATAAACAATCACCCTGCTCGCGTACCATACATGCGACGCAGGTACACATAGAAACACATGATCAACAGCAAATTAAGAATTTTACGGGGAATATTTATCCCATTAGAAGCCAATTCTCTTTTAATGATTTAAGGAACAAGTTTAATCCTCTTAGAAATTCATTTACCAGTTCGATAAGATTTAAGCAATTCATACTGTCAATGACATTACAAGTATTCCAAGTATAGCATGCTTTTTGGGTCCTAGACTACCCGGACTTACACATATAAGTAGCTACGCACGGACTCTCGTCACCTCGTGCGTACGTAGCCCCCACAAATAGGAACACATAACCAATTATTTCACCTATGGGGACAATTCCCTCTTACAAGGTTACAAAGGAGACTCACCTCGCTCCGAAGATCCATAACCGGCCTTCCACGCCCTTCCGAAAACTCAAATTGATGCACAACGCTCCAAAACTAGCCAATAGTTATGCAAATCCATTAATATACGATAAACCACTCATATTAATCCAATTTATAACAATTCCTAAACCCGATCGGAAAGTTGACAAAAACTCCCTCGGGCCCACGTGCCCGGATTTCCAAAATTTTCGAAGAATAAGTTTACCCATAGCCTCACTAACTCAAATATATAATTTTCTCTTAATTCCATACCCAAAATCGTGGTCAAATTCCAAGAATGTAAATTTCTAGGTCTTTCTACCAAAATCCCAAATTTCTACCAATTTACATGCTAAAATCTATACATAANCAACAATTAAATGATGAATATATGAATACTCTTTATAGTAGTCGAACTATCGATGAAAATGATGAGGAAAATGATAATTTAGATGAAACGCAACCGGATTTAGATGATACACCTACTAGTCCTGTTGTTAACCCAACTGATAATAATCCAAATGATGCCCCGCCTGACCCTCCTGTAGTAACCCCTACTTTTAATAGACAACCTTCTAAACGGCAAGAAACATCTCTTGTTTGGCACTTTTTTACTCAACTAAGAAAACAAAATAAGGCTAAGTGTAAAACTTGTGGGATTTGATGGCTCATAAATATACTGGAGACCGTAGCGGTACGGGTAGTTTGACTAGACACATAAAGAAACACCCTAGAGATAAAGCTAGATATCTTCGAATGAAAGCTGCGCAAGAGGGGAGAAGTGTAGGTACTAAGGTTAACCCTAGTACCGGGTCAAATCTAGTTCAACGAGGAATTAACACTATTACCGGTGGCATTTTATATTACGATCCAAATAAAGATCGTGAAGAATTGGCAAAAATGGTTACTGTTATGTGCTTACCCTATAGTTTTCCTTCTAACCCTCACTTTGTGTATTATATTAGAAGAGTTTATAATCCTACTTATAAAGGATGGCCTCGCGCAACCGTAAAGAGCGATATTTATAAATACAAACATGAATATGAACAATATTTGCGCTATTTATTTACTCATATAGATTGTCGCATTGCTATTACTACCGATATTGGTAGAAGTGGTAATGACTGTGATTATCTTACTGTAACCACTCATTGGATTGATGAGGAATGGAAAATGCAAAAGCGCATTATTGCTTATAGAATAATTAATTCACGTCACACAGGTAAGTTTATTGCTAACACAGTTGCAGATATTTGTAGATATTTTTGCATTAGAGATAAAATAATGCCAGTTTCTATAGATAATGCTTCTAGTAACACTAATGCTATAGGCTTGCTTACAACTACACTAAATCCTGCATTTAGTAATATGTTCCATGTTAGATGTATTTGTCATATTTACCATTTAATCGTCGGTGATGGTATGAAAATTTTAAATGGGAAAATTGAAAAGGTTAAAATGGCTCTTAATTGGCTTTTTTATTCAAACCGTAGAAGTAGACTTAGAGAATATTTTAAAAAATGTGATGAATTTGGCCTTAGAGAGAAAGGTTCCTAAAGCTTGTCCGACTAGATGGAATTACATGTACGAAAGTTTAATTGTTGCATATGAATATAGAAACCCTATAAACGCAACGTTTAATGCTCGTGTTGGTGGTGATGATGATGATGAGCACCTTACAAATCAGGATTGGACTAATGTTAAAATTCTTATAGATTTTTTAGAACAATTTCATTTTGCTACAAATGAATTATCTGGGCAATATTATCCTACTATTTCTAACTGTTTAGTTTATATTGCAGCACTTGCAAATTTGTTTGTTCAATTTTCAGAGGGTGGAAAATTTATCAACTTGATATTGATTCTATGAAAGATAAGTTAAAAAAAAAATTCCCTATCCCCCCTATTTATGGTGTTGCTGCCATGTTAAACCTACCATGAAATTAGGAGGTCCTCACTTTTGGTATACAAATATTTATAAGGCTTTAGATCTTTCAGATGAGGAATTTGCTACACTTGCCGATGCAAAAGCCTCAATTAAAATAAATGCCCAAACAATTTATAATGCTTATCAACTTGCCTTAGATCATGTTAGACCAAATGTTCAACTCCTACTTCGTCTAGTTTGCAATCATCTAAAAGAACTGCGGGCCTAAAAGCACTTAGTTCTTGGACGGAGTTCAGGGGTTCTCAAGGTTCAGGGGTTCTCAAGGTGATAATATTGGTGATGCTTCACAACTAAATGAGCTTCAAGTTTATTTGTCGCAGGGACTTGAAAAAAGAGAATCCCGACGCTCCTTTGATGTTTTGGAATGGTGGAAGGACAAAGAAAAATACTTTCCGGTTCTTTCAAGGATGACTCGAGATATTTTAAGTGTTCAAGCTTCAACAGTGGCATCGGAGAGCGTTTTCAGTCAAGCGAGACTTCAAATCAGTGATCATAGAGCGTCTATGAGGGAGAGCTTGGAAAAATCAGTACTCTTCAGAGATTGGATCCGTTCAGAAAGAAGAAATTTTGGACTTGCTGAATCACAACCGTAGATAGACGAAGCTTATGAAGAAATGCTAGCGGAACTTGCGAAGGATGTTGCTTCGCACGGAAGCAGTGATGAACAAGTTTCCTTTCCGCACCACCAACAGAAATTCCTCCGAACCTTGAAGGATTTATGAAATTTGTTAGAGATAATATGCAGACTAATATGTAACTTCTATTTTGGCACATCTTCATTAGTTTTTTTTTCCTTTTAATGATGGTATTAGCACTTGTTGTGTTCATACCATTGGAGGGAGGAAGACTAAGAAAGATATTGCCATTTTTTGTTAATGTCGTAATAATAAAAATTATAAGGCATTCCCTTGAATATTTCTTTGCAATTTTTTTTGTGTTTAAATTTAAATTAGAAGATTTAAGTCAAGGCAATATATATATATATATATATATATATATATATATATATATATATATATANATATATTAAAAGAAAATGCCTTAGATAAAAAAAATTAAAAAAAAATAGCCCGGAACACTTAGGCCCGTGGGCCCGACCCATTTAGCCTGGGACCATGTGGGCTTAGACCCACAGTGCGCCTGTTCCATCCACCAGGACTGTTAAGCCCGGGATCGCAAGAACCCAGCCCGCCAAAGCCCGGAACCGTTAAGTCCGGCCCGTCTAGCCCATTTAAACCCGGACCCGGCCCAGAATACAGCCTTTTATGTACCTATAGATAAGTAAAGTTTACTCTAAAATTTTGAAAATTTTATGTCAAGTTTTCGACCACGAAAATTAGATAATTTGGCACTTCTGCGCTCCACAATCTAATGCATAAAATGAAATGAAGGGACTATCCTATATTACATTTTATCTAGTTTTTTATTATAAAAACATTATTATAAAATTAGAAATCAAACTACGAATTAAAGATAAAATATTTCTTCTTCCGCTTTATTTTAACTGTCACTTTAGCACATTTCACTCCCATTAAAAAATTAATATATTTAAAACATAATTTACTAAGTTATTCCTACTAAATACTATTGGAAATGAACAACTACATTCGAGACCAATATACCGCTTATGCATGTTAACTTATAATTATTATAGAAACTCATAAACTTTAAATCCTAATCAACACGACCACTAAGCGCCCAGAATTTTCATGTCAAAAACTCGCGGCCAAGGTCAAATCCTTCCCCCACCGAATTTCCCATCAAGTATCCAAGTATGCTTATACTCAAGAATTTTCATACCAAAGAAAGCAACAACATTTTCATACATAATAAAATTCAAATGTAAAATTGACAAACAAACTCTATTTTACAATCACCACACACTTGACACTACTTACTATCAACATTACAAAGTTCCAGAAAATAAAAAGACATCTTAGGAAATACAACCTTAAAACATATGGAATTAACAGCAAAACTCTCTTACAACACCACAACCCCTTTTTTCTCTTTTTCTTTTTTTTTTTCTGTGGATTTAATATATATATTCATCAATATACCCAGTAAAAAAAATCTCACTAGTGAGATTTAGGATCTGAGGAGAGTAGAGTGTACGCAAACCTTACCCCTACTCCGAAAGGATAGAGAGGCTGTTTCCGGGAGAGTCTCGGCTATATATATATATACACAATGCATGTTTATCTTCCAAAGATTGATTTGAGCCACCAAATTCCTTTGGTGTCCTGTGGGCTATCTTCACCCTCTGGTGGAGGATCAGACTGAGGTGTCTTGTGGAGTTTACTCACATCATAGCCAACTTCTTTAGCCTTCTCAATCAGCATGTTGTATATCTCTTCGTCAAGATGTGTTTTCCTACATAATATCTGCAGATCAAAAAATATTTTGTTAACCTCTAAAAACCTGACAAATAAAAATTATAATATCAGGAAACTAAGTTTAGGAATGGACTTTAACTTATTAATACTATTAGGTAAGCTATAACTGTTAGTAACCAGTGGCGAAGCCAAAAAATTCAATAAGAATTAATGTTCAAATGTTGAAACACCCTTTGCCAGGGTGTTCAAAGTATAGTTTTTTTATCAATAACAACTACTACTATTTTATCCTATACATAGTATAATTTTTCGACGAAGGGTATTCAATTGACCACCCTTGGTACACATAGCTTCGCTCCCGTTAGTAACAGCTATTAACCTATTATAATAGGATAAAATATAGTAATTAGTTTCACAAAAAAACTGATTACTAAGAACCATTACTTACGTACATGTAAAGAATTTCAGAAATTAACATGTAAAAATGAAGATACACGTATGAAAAGACTTGAGTTTGCCCTACCTTCAAAAAAGAAAAAGATAAGGACTCCATAGAGCTGTATTTGAAGATACACGCTAGGTCAAATTCAAATATTAGCGTGAGGTCAAATTCAAATATTTAGTCGAGACAAAAAAACACTAAGTATGTGTTATAGAGGCGTCACCGGACACCGTGTATATATATATATATATATATATATATTAAAAATGATTAATTTAAAGTATTTGGCACCCTGAATACTAAAAGCGAGCATAATATTGTGCCTCGTCACATAAAAATCCAGATTCCGCCTCTAGGGAGAGTTATCTAATAAAGAATATTAATAAAGAATAAACAAATTCTCACATAAAGAATCAATTCCTCAAAGCTGACACATTAAGTCATCTAATTATTATATACTCAAAGCTCATCAAAAATTCACATGAAAATGGCAAAAAACATGACGTTATAAAATGTCAAAAAGAAAAGGGAACTTACCCAAAGATACTTCCTACTAGGCTGACCAATCAAAGCATATTGATAATCATTATCAATATAAAGAACCCAATAATCACCAACAACAGGAATAATTGGCAAAAATGGAGGAACATAAAACTTCACTTTAAGCTTAGCTTCATCACTTTTAGGATCAGCTTTATATGCAGTCCCTTCAATTGATCCTCTTTTGCCATTACTCCAAGTTTCATTTAGTACATGTACTGTACCATCTGGATTTAAAGTGTAAGTGGCTCTTGTGTTTACACCATTTTTGGGCTGTGTTATAGATGGGAAACTAGCTATTTCATACCATCTTCCCATGTATTTTTCAACATCCAAATTCCTCACTACTTCCATTTCTTTATTGGACATTTTTTCAAGAAAATATTTTTTTTCTCAAGATATTTGGGTGTTGGAGAAAAGGGGTTTTTGTAAATTTTTTGTAAGGGGTTTTGGATTGGGTTTTTGATAAGATTTAGTGGGATTTGATGAGATATATAAAGGTCATAGGGTTTAATGTGAAATTTGTGGATATAGACGTGGGCGCTTGAACACCTTACAAGTGTAATAATGGATTTTTTGGAATACTATGTTTTGGCAGATTGAATTGGTAAATTCTAGAATATTCGTGTTTAAATTCTAATACAAGGGGCGGTTAAGTTGTTTGTTTTCGGAATTTTAAAATATTCTTTTGATAATTATGGTATTCGGATCACCTTACGTGCTTAATTTTATAGTAATTTATTATTTCTCACTAATATAAATATGTACTCCCTCCGTTTACTTTTACTTTCCATTATGAACTTTGCAAACCTTTAAGAAATAATAAATAAAGTGCATAATTTATCACAATGCTCATATTAATTGATGTATATTTTTAATGAAGTTGAGAAAGTGATTTGAAATGAGTAATTAATATTGTGGATTTAACAGGAAAAAAAAATTAGTTTCTCTTGATATGCTAAAAGTGAGTAAAAGTGAAAATCTATTTTTAAAATATTGGACAAGTAAAAGTGATCGGAGGGAGTATATGATAACTTTATCTATTAAAACTTGGACAAATAGAAAAAGATCACACCTATAGGTAACAAAAAATTTTGCATATATACTTATCGTTATATGTTAAACTGAGTAAGTTATCAATTTAATAATAAATAGAATAAGTTATTTATCAACATTGTTTTCCTATGTTTTAATGAGTGCTTGTCGAAGAGTTATATGCATTTATTTTAAAATGACTATAAATCTCTTCTACGTATTAAGTGTATGAAATTTAATTGTTTCATTCATTCGGTTAAGTAATTACCACATAACTAGAAAAGTTATATTTGAATGCAACGGATATAAAATGATTATGTTGATAGTGAGTGTACTAATTAAGACGTTAAGATCTGTGTATAGTTGGTAGTCTCGTGACTCAAAATGATTAGTGTATAATTTGTTATAGTAACCATATTTAAGATTTCACAGATTCTGGTAATAAACTAACTTTCCCCATTAATTCCCAGTTTTCAGCTTCAAACTATGTTTAGTTAATTTTTCTAGTTAAAATCAAAGACAAAATAAAATCTAAATTATTCTTAATTAACTTAAAAGATCCAGCTATGCGCGGGATCCGGGAAGGGCCGAACCTTCATTTTTTTTATAGTAATAACATATTCATTTTTCCATTAATCTCCCGTCAGTCAATCGTGAAGGATGTAGCAAATTAATCAGTATTCACAAATTTGAAACAGAGTGGTAGAGCTATTCCAAAAGGTTTCACTCTTGGAAATAACAATGTAAAAGTAACACATACTCAAATTACAGATAAAACGTAAACAGAGGTTATTTACATACCGTTATTTCACGCTTACAGTTCCTTTTTGTGGTAGCTTCAATGGCTAAAAGCCAGAATGTTTCTGGGGAAGTCCCAATTAAGAACACTATCTCAACTTAGACGTTGCCAGAGGGTACAAATTCACTGGTTCTTGGATACTTCAAAAAGGATCTAATACAACAACAACAAGAACCCAGTATAATCCCACTTAGTGGGGTCTGGGGAGGGTAGTGTGTACGCAGACCTTACCCCTACCCTGAGGTAGAGTGGCTGTTTCCAAATAGACCCCCGGCATCCTTCCCTCCAAGAATTCCCACCTTGCTCTTGGGGAGACTCGAACTCACAACCTTACCAATGGTTAAATTGCAATCTTTGTTTACTACTTTGAATTGGAGTCGATTGAGAATATCCAGAGAGCAACTTATCTTGCCATTGTGCTGACATAATTGACGTTCTAATACAACTGACAAAAGATGGAGTTGCACTCTGGTGGTCTTCAGCTGAACTCCTCCCAATAAAAACAGCGCCAGAATGCTTCATGACTTTAGCAAACTCATATGAACAAAGAATAAAGCTTCTCGCGAATTGTCTCTTTAACCTTGCAATACAAACAAAACATAATGGAGTGTGAGCTCTCTTAACATTAATAGCGTTTTCACAAAACACAATCGAACTATTACTTATTCTTTCTCTCTCTTTCTTCTTTGTTTTACTAGTTGCGGCTAAAACTGTACAGTGATTTAGCAAAGAATTCCAAATGGAACTATAAGCAAGATCATGGGAAAGATTGTAACCCTCTTACTAGTCTTGGAATTGAAAAGCAAATCAACTCCGGAAGTTTGATTTGATCAAACATAGATCTATGTTTCTTTTCCATAGTACTCAGGCATATAAGAATTTAGCCTAGTGGGATAGAGTACATAATACCTGTAACTTTGTCTTCAACGATGCTGAATACCTTGGACCGAGCAATCTTGATATAATCGAAGCCATCACGACTGCCATTTGTAATGCCACCTTTGATAACCATCAAAGCAGAAGGTTTGATAATGTCAAGTAAAAGTTCAGTGCTATTAAGGCTCAAGGATATCCCCATTTACCAATTAACCAAAGTGTAGCCAATTCAAAGCCTTCTTCATAAGAGATGTACCAGTGATAAGCATGCAGTCATTGCTCCACATTAGGATATGTGGTCATGGAAAAAATGAACATGCCAACTTAAACTAATGCTTTTCACTAAGCGCTAGAAAACCTCAAACTATTGAATATTGGAATGAAAGGAGTCCAAATGGGGATGGATGGATAGTAAGTATTCCTATATCTGACAGTAGCTGGTTTGATATTGAAGTGTTGTTCTTGTTGCGAACAGGGGGAAATGACATTATCGGAGAAATGCAAAAAAAAAAAAAAAAAGAGCATATACTATTGCAGAAGAAATAGGCAGGTAGAAAGAAAGAAAGAAAGAAAGAAAGAAAGGAATGAGGCTCAGATTTGCCCAAGACTATCAGAAAAAGGCTAATCTGCCATGGTTGGAAAGGCCAGAGCTTTTGCGAGACAGGAAATAAAACCAGCTCCCAAAACTTTTCCTGAACTTTGCCAAGCCAAGATACAAATCAGCTCAAATATCCGAGATTTCAAGCTTACTGGATAAAATCATCACAGCCTCATTGATTAGGTTTAGGGTTTAGACAGGAATGGATTCATATAGCCAACCACAACAATTAGGGGATGAGCTATAGTTGATTGTTTTATCATCATAATCATCATCATCATTGTCGAGATATAATATAATTAACAGAAGTGTACTCTCCATCTAACAGCTTAAAATATCAGATGAGATGGTCCACAATCATTAGCATTTTGCAGTGCAAGGATGTAGATCACAAAAGAATTCATCGGCTATGAACTCAGAGAAACAGAGCAACCACCCTTAGGAAATCATGCATTCTTAGAGGCAAAAAAGCCTCCTTTTTTAGAATAATCAAGGCAACGGGGTAGGCTCAGATTCACTTTTTTTCAAACAAAATCCAAAGAGCTTTAATAACTGTCATGGCTGCATGCATCAGTCGGCCTTAGGAGATGGAGAAGAAACACCAAAAATGGATCTTTTCTCTCCACATCTCACAGACCAATCTGAGCTGCCATGCCAAGATACGACTATTGTACTCCAATGTCAACCAAATTTTGCCCAAACGCAGTCTTTTCAGCTCAGAGGAAAATGTCTGATTCATCTTTCAGAAACAGCAATCTTCATAGCCTCTGATAAATGGAATCGAAGGAGTAATAAATCAATCAACTACTGATGGTTTTGCAATTGGAAAATATTTCATTTGAGAGATCATCGGCAGCGTAGAATGACAGAGAGTGGCAAAACCATCCATTGAAATTCCCCAAAGCTCTTTGCTCTCACCGCGGTCTCAGACTCAAGCTAACCACCAGCTTTATGTTCCCTTTTGAGGCTCAGATGTGTGTTATAGCTCAAGCAAAAGAGATCCGACGACACCATGGCTGCAAAAACCACCAAATCTGGGGCATGCCCCGCCAAGGTATGGGACGGATAATCTCAAATGCTCAATTACTAAGCTCAGAAGGGAATGAAAGATATGCAAAATCATCATCGCATCTTTCGAGGCATCAATCATTCTCACCACCTCCGGCATAACTTGTCTCTAAATCAAACGAACCCTAACAGCTTGTTTTGATGGTTGTTAACCATTGTATTGTGTTGTTATTTCAGATAGGCCAAATACATAGGCAGCTCCTCAAACTTGGCACGAATTGTCATTTAGACACTTCTACTTTACAAAGCAAAAGAGAAGGCGACGTTGCCATGGCTGCAGACACCAGTTTGCTACATAAAGCCATACCAGGCCGCACCGCCAAGATACGACTCGAAACTTTCTTAATGACAAGATTGAACATATCCCAGAAACGAAAGCAGTCTTCACAGCCTCTTGCAGCATCAGTAGCAGCAGCACAGAGTGAAGAGGAAGAGGAGTACACCGGTGTCTACGGATTTTTTCTTCTTCTTTTTCTTGTTTATTCCAAAGGGCTGTTGGTATTTTTGGTTATGAATGGAGAAATCACAGGCATAACAGAGAGGGCAACCACCCTATACAGAAAATCCATCTCTCTCTCATGCCTCATTCTTCTTTCTTGCTAGGCTATGCTCAGCTGATACTGAATATGGTGATGGATTAGGACTGCAAGAACTTGTATAGAAAGTCGCAGGTTAGACATATCCCGACATTGAATCATGGAAAAGATTCTGGTTTTTTTCTCTCAAGCAAATGGGTCTCAGATGTGTCTTATGATAAGGCAAAAGAGAAGCCAGCCACGTCATGGCTGCAAATAGGGGTTGCATGAGAGACAGAAAAGTCTCTGTCACAGGCCATACCGGGTTGCCACGCCAAGATACGGGTTGGATAATCTCTATGCCCTAGTTGGTTAGCCCATATATAGAAACATCATCATCACTGCCTCTTTATGTACCTTCCATCAACACCATAAAAAACACAAACACAGAGGAAAGACACAGATGACACTGCATATAAGTTAAATTCTTTTTGCAGTTTCTGCTATTTCTAAAAACAAAGGGTTGTTGGTTGTTTGATAATGGACGAAAATCAATGGCGGAACAGAGAGGGGCAACCACCCTTTAAAGAACATC